GGTTGATTTTTTGCAGTTCCTCCAGCAGATGGCGTGCAAGATCACCTTCTTGTTGATTGACAGCAGTTCCAGCAGGGGAAGGGCTTGGACAGGAAGTCCCTCCCGTCTTCTTTGTCTGCTTCTCTAGTAGTTTTCTCGGCCCCGCCATGTTGCACCTTTGGGCCGTATGGGTAGGGCGGGATATAAATCCCAAAATAAATAAATAAAATAAATATAAATATAAATAAAAGTTCTTGCCGTAACTCTCCGGGATGGCTCCCTCCTCTCCGCTTTCCTCTCCCTCCCAGAAGGTAATACGTTTTTTCAATTTTTTGCTTCGCCCCCTCCCTTGCCTTTAAAAAGTCTCTTATTCATATGGGGGGGGGATCCTCCCTCCCTTCCGCTTCTTGGGGGGGTGAAGCCCTTTTATGCTGCCGCTTTTATTTCGAACGCCAACTTATGGTTCATCGCTTGTCTCTTAGCTCGGACTTAACTTTAACGCTCCACCACTCCGCTGTTCCGGTGGCGTTGCTAGTCCCCATAAGGGGCAAGTCGCAGCCGGGGCCGTTTGGGGTAGAGGGAGAGCCTCAATTCCCGACCTTCTGGCCGGCAAGAGGCTTCTCCCCAAAGCACCCCCTGGTTCGGAGCCTTTTCTCTAAGGCTCCTTAGGGTCTCCACTTGCGCGGGACCCCCCCAGACTGCGCTTGGGCGATCCGGCTCCGGGAGCATCCCGAGACCCGGTCGCCATTCGCGCCGCCGTGGCCGGAAGTCTCGCAACAGGGGAGCAGAATTATCCAGCCTTGGAAACACCAATAGGGGCCTTCCATTCTATACACTTTTGAACCTATGCCTGACATTCCCCTGAAAGTACTTTCTTGGGGGAATCTTCTTTGGGGAGCCATAACTCAGACCCCCCCCCAAGTCCAATCTGCACATAACTTGGAGGGCATGTAGAGGAGCATCAGGGGGAGGTCCCCTCTGAGTCTGACCTCTCTAGCTTGCACAAGGTCTGTGCTATACACTCCTGAACCAGTACCTGTCATTTCCCCAGAAAGCACTTTCCTTGGGGCACCTTCTTTGGGGGGCCATAACTCAGACCCCGTAGATTCAATCTTCACCAAACGTGGACAGCAGATAAAGTAGAGTCATCTGAAGATCCCTTGTGAGTTTGGTGTCTCTAGCATGCTGGGGGCTGTTCTACTGCATCACAAACCTCACTAGTTCATTTGGCACTTAAAAGTTCATGGCGGTTCGAGAGGCTTGCCATGGACCATGAACTGTCATGAACTGCATTTTCCTGGTGTGTGCCCATCCCTAGCAGTGCTTTTTTAAATTTATTTATTGGCATTATTTATAGTCCACCTTTCTCATGGGGCTCAAGGTGAATTACACATAGAGAGCCAGCATGATCACAAAAATGGAACATTCACTAACCAATGCTTTAAGATTTTAGAAGTTTGGAACCACCAGAAAGAACTGAAGCATAGCATAAGTATTCACGTGACATATAAAGGGGTACAGAAATTACATAAATAGGATCCTACTTACAGTAAGCTAAACACAGCAGTATAGACAGCAATCCTTTATGGTTTATCCAAGCAAGTTTGTAAAACCATTTTATGCAGCGCAATCCTATTACCTGCACAGAAAAGCCCTCTTGAATAGCTCAGTTTTGCACAGTTTGCAGAAAGCCATGCGATTGGGAGCTTTCCTGACCCCCTTAGGCAGGCTGTTCCACAAGGCGGGAGCCACAATGGAGAAAGCACATGTGTTTGTAGTCCTATTGCATAGGCATTGGCATTTAGTTTTGTACTCCTAGTCCCTGTTGCATTGGTGTTCGAGGTCCTGTGCTGTATAATAACATCTTTTTCTCTTTATCTGCTCTGTAATCCACATTGAGACTCTGTGAAAAAGGGAGGCTATAAATAAGATGATTAAATAGAAGAGACAGAAGAGATTTATACCCAACCCGTCACTCGGAGTCTCAGAGCAGTTTACAAACTTCTTTCCCTTCCCCTCCCCATATCAGACACCCTGTTAGGTAGGTGGGGCTGAGAGAGCTCCTTCCAGAGCTGTTCTTGAGGGAACAGCTCTAAAAAGAACTATGGATTGCCCAAGGTCATCCAGCAGGTGCAAGTGGAGGAGTGGGGAATCAAACCTGGTTCTCCCAGATTAGAGTCTGTGCACTTAACCACAACACAAAAAGGTAGTAGCCATCTTAGTCGATCACAGAATCTGGGGGGATAATCCATGTAATACTTTTTATTAACACCTGCCAAATTGACACAACATATTGTACAAAGTTTTGACTTATCCAGAATTCTTCATCAAGCTGGATGTTAAAAAACAGCAGCATGGTGGAACGGGAGGAAAAACACATTTCCCAGGCCATGGTATTAAGACCTCTTTGGACCTTTTTTGTTGTTGTTTGCTATCAAGTCATATCTGATTTATGGTGACCCTGTGGGACTTTCAAGACAAGATATATTCAAAGGTGGTTTGCCATTGCCTGTCTCTACGTCATGGCCCTGGTATTCCTTGGTGGTGTCCTTTCCAAATACTGACCAGGACTGACTCTGCTTAGCCTCTGAGATCTATGGAGATAAGGTTAGCCTAGGCTATGCAGGTCAGGACTTGGGCCAAATTACACATTATATTTTGCATGGTTTCCGAAGGGGACTAGCAGCCATATTGAAGCTGTGAGTTCCTGGTATGTACATTAGCTCAACTTGGATCAGGACCATGGGGGGGAGGAGAAGTGCTTGCCTCCTCCAATGTCCTTTTCCCAAGTCAAAACAACCCAGGGGACATTATTTGACTTGTTGTGTAGCCCTCCCAGAGGGGCAAACAATACCCCCGGACTGTTTTGGCTCTGGAAAATGGTGCGAGGGGAAATGCAGGAGCCCCTCCTTCCCATGCAATCCCCCAACATAAATTGGACCCCTCCAGTGCTTTTACATGAAGGTGCCACCGGGCACTTGCAATAGAGTTGCCAACCTCCAGGTGATGGCTGAAGATTTCTGGGTTTACAACTGATCTCCAGGCAGACTCTATGGCATTATACCCCACTGAAGTTCCTCCCCTCTGCAACCCCACCCTCCTGAGGCTCCACCCCCCAAATCTGTATTTCCCAATCCAGAGCTGGCAACCCTAAGTTACAGCTGCTGTATGGCTGCAAGTTCCCGTGGCAAACTCGTGTAAAACATAACTTGAAGTTTGTTCCTCTCCATCCTACAGGTTTGTTGGATGCTTAGCTAGTTGCAGTGGGCACGGAGTGTGGCTAGCTGGTATCAGATCGTGACTGTCTCGTGCTGGGAAGAAGAATTTTTTTAAAAAATGAAAGCTATCCAGTTGAAAGTGTAACAAGTAGTTGATCAACTGTCTCCTTTTATTTTCAATCCTACTGCTCTTAGTTATGGAGAATTACAAGCTTACAGCAGGTCAAAAAAACATAAGACCTTCATCTGTAAGCCAGACTCTGGCTGTCAAGGCAGAGGCATCTACATCACGAGATCTGTGAAAGATATCAGACCAGGAGAAGATATGATCTGCCAGCTCTATATCTCAAGGGTAACCACAATTTTTTTGGGAAGTAAAATGGGTCACCCGTGGTACTCTTCTGGTCAATGGGAGTTGCATCGTTGCAGATGTTTGCAAACATTCTACAACTGAAGGGAAAGGATTGGGCAGTCAAAAGATGCTGATGGTCAGCAAAGCTGTTGTGAAGGAAGCAACTGGGTGGGGGGAGGAATTCACACACACCAGCATGAGATAGGACAGGGGTGTCAAACATAAGGCCCGGGTCCTGGAACCGGCCCATTCAGAGCTTTGTGGCCCACGAGCAACTAGTACAAGGGAGGGAACAGGAGACTGCTGGGAGGGAAGTGGGCAGAGCCACTCCAGTTGTGCCTTCAGCGTGGCGGAACAACCTTGTCTGCAGCAGTCAAGCAGCATGGCTTACAGGTGGCCTTCTAGGAGACGTTGCACCCTCCAGCTTTATTGAGCTTTTCCTGTCCTTTAGGTGTTTGTTGCAAGTATGGCACTAATTCAGTTTCCACTTCCTTTCTCCAAGCCTTTCATTATCGATGGGTTCAAGTTTGATCTTCGGATTTACGTGCTGGTGACATCGTGTGACCCGCTGAGGATATTTATCTATGAGGAAGGCTTGGCACGCTTTGCAACATCTGCTTACTCGGACCCGTCAGTCAGCAACTTGGTGAGCAGATCCTGGTGACAAACTGTAGAATGCTAAAAGGGTTGAAGCCACATCTGTCCTTAAAAGGCTCATGTGGGAAATTCTGGCGCTTCTGCTTTGGTGAAAACCTACGCCATGGGAAGCGGTACCAGCGGGAAAATTGGAGTCTTTGTGTTGTCTGGGACTCAGCACAGCATTCTTTTGTGTGCAATACTAGGGGAGACTGCAACGACCCCACAATGAAGGCAGAGGCCACAGTGGTATAATATGATGTGCGGCTCAGAACTTCACAATAATTTGCATTTTACCTACTTTGTGTCTTCTGCCCTTAGTGCCAGCACAGCAAACTTTATCTACAGAAGCCTGGTTCACAAGTCACAGTGAATGCACATACAATCTATACGTGGTGTGCACTGGAGTTCTTTTCAATACACGTGTTTAAAAATTCTCTTGTTAGATTCAATGCATGCACAGCTGAACAGGTGATATAAAGCCCACATTTATCAGATACTAGTTCCTGATTTCATTTGCCAAACAAACACACGTAGGCTGTTTCTTACAAACCGTTGTCCGCCAAACCTGTAGCCATGGGGGTGGGGCCTTGGGGTGACACCACCCCCAAATATGCCCTGCCCCCTCCCGGCCACTTCCACAGCTGGTCCCAGCAGGGAGAGGGAGCCTGGGGCAACGGGCAACAATCGCCTGGGGTGCGGAGGCAGGCTGCTGCTTCTATGCACTGTTGCTTGCTCGGGTTCCAGTAGCGGCTGAGACAGGAGTAGAACCTGCGTTCCACACCTTCCTAGTGGTAGCCGTTGGGTGAGACCTGGCAAGTTAGCTGCACTTCTCACGTGGGGCACCTCAGGATGAGCACAGTGGGCTGAAAGCCAGGCTGGCGCTCCGCGGGCATGAAGGGAGCATGTAGCACAGGCTCTGAGCTCTGGGTCACCATGGTTTCGTCTGTCCCTGACTCCTGAAACCCCGGAGTGGCAGCTCTCGGTAAGCGCACTGCAGAGGCTTCCACACCAGTCACAGCCAAAACACAGACAGAACAGGCCCACTGACAACCCATCTCAGGAGCGCAAAGATGGCCTGGATTCCAGCCTCTCTGCTTGCCATGCTCTACGCTCCCCCATACACGGAGCGGGTCTCCTTGGCCCCACTGAAGTTCCAGCTGGCCAGGCAGATGCTGTAGCAGGCCCCGGACCCGTGGCACCAATCGTGGTCGCTTTGGCTGGGCTCTCCAGACAGCCCTGACGGGGAGGGCAGCAGGAGGACAAGAGACGCGAGAAGGAGCCCTCTCATTTTTAGTAGGGGGGCAAAGACCGGGAGCGGGAAGCTTCATTAGATCACCACTAATTAGATTCGTTGCTAATCTGATTTGTGTCCCGGTCTTTGCCCCCCTACCATAACTTTTCTGGCTACAGGCCTGACTGTACATACTGTAACGTGAACAGGGCTAGAGTTAACTCTAAGAGTGATGTATGTGATCTGTTATGGTTATCTTTAAAGCATTTGATACTCACCGGCTCAGAAGCCACGTGTGGCTATTTGAAATGCCACCTATGGCTCTTCTGAACAGTGTTCACTCTCCCCATGTTCCATGAAAGTGGGCAAGGCCATTATCCAGTTGGGATTGTGATTGGCTGGGAGTTCCCACCTTGGAACAGCCAACACCAGGGGGACTGGAAGACAGGTAAACTGAGAGCCCCCTTGGCTAGTGATGAAAGTAAAGGGCCCATCTTCTCCAGCAAGCCACTGGCTTGTTTAGCTGATGGTAATTACAAATGTGGCTCTCCAAAAACCACAGAGTGAATAGCAATGCTGTAAAGGTTTAGCTGTACATTTGAAGAGAAGAACACTCCACAGGTGAGCTTTTGGAGGGGGCAATTTGGAGCAAAGGGGGCAATTTGGAGCACAGATCTCCAGATCATGTTTTGGATGTTCTGGCACTTGCCAGGTTCCCAGTTTGTGTTTCCATTCTGTTAATACTTATCTGTTAATACTTATCCGAGGCTTCAGATTTCAAAAATCCTTGCATTTCTTGGGAAACAACTCAATGACTTTGCACCACAAGCGCAACAGGAGTTTTGTGCCTCCCCAACACCCACTGGCTCGTTTCTGTTTGCAGCCACGGCACACAGGGAGAAGAGGCTGTCGCTCCCCTCCCCAGTGCTGTTTTTGTGTCTTCAAGCTGCCCTACGGAGCTACTATTGGCTACATTGCAAAAATCATGTTAAATATGTGGCTATGCATAAGTTTTGCAGCAGAGCCATAGCAGCTCTGTGGGATGGTTTGCGGGCGTGAAAATAGTTTGGAGGGAGGCTAAAACCCCTTCTCCCTGTGCTCTGTGATTGCAAATAGAAAAGACCCCATGTGCATCTGGGAGGAGCAGAACTCCCATCTCAGGTGTGATACAAGGTGCTCGTGTTGTTCCCCCCACAAACACAAGGGCTTTGTAAGGTGTAGATGGAGCCTGAGTAGAACATACAGTTAGATGGCCATAAGGAAATCTGACACTCCAGTTAGCAGTTCAGTTACCTTGTGCTCCTTTCCTTTGTTCTCAGAGAAAACCCCTGGCTACCTCTCTGAAATGTCCAAAACTCCACTAGGGGTCGCCAGAAGTCAACCATGACTTCCAGGCATGCAAACAAAACCCACACAAAAACCTCACAAAAAACCCCAAGTCATCAGCTTAGCTATGAAGTAGTGAGCTTCGCTGTGAAGAGAACCAGCGTGGTGTAGTGGTTAAGAGGAGCGGACTCTAATCTGGAGAACTGGGTTTGATTCCCCGCTCCCCCACATGAAGCCTGCTGGGTGAACCTGTGCCAGTCATAGTTCTCTCAGAGCTCTCTCAGCCCCACCTACCTCACTAGGTGCCTGTTGTGGGGAGAGGAAGGGAAGGTGATTGTAAGTTGCTCCGTGATTCCTTCGGGTAGTGAAGGGCAGGGTATAAAAGCCAACTATTTTTCTTATGGTTTGGTTTTGGCGCTGAGCACCTGTATTTTATGAAGTGCTTGTATGGATTGGATGGCCTTTATATCCCTTTCAAATCTATGCTTCTGATGTCGCTGTCCTGGTATAATTTATTCTGAATGAGTGCAGAAGGAAATCAGAGGACTCCTAGACTTGAGAGCATTATGAAGGCTATCCAGTTCATATGCAGACTCTCCAATAAGGTATAAGTGCCTTCTCCTCTGACCCCCCCCCCCCATCCCCATTTTGATGTTGCTTCTCCCTCTTGCTAATGAAACCTATAACACTTTCGAACCATTTTCTGTAGCGAAGAAAGGAAGAACAGAAGGGAGGCTGAAATCTCTCTAGCCTCATAACCGGCTTGTTTGTTTAATTATTTACAGGACGACGTCTGCATGCACCTGACTAATTATTCAATTAACAAGCACAGCGCTAATTTTGTACGAGATGACGATTCTGGTAGCAAGAGGTACAGAATGTTTTCCAAAATAATCACAGCTGGGGGGACGCTGGTGGGCCTGTTGTCGTGAATCTTTACGGCCATTTCATACGTGTTTAGGAAACATTTCGCCAAATTCAGCCGGCTCGTGTTGTCTTCTCCATCATTAGGTGAAATAAATCATTTAAAAAGCTCAGACGAGTAACAGCAGGGGACCTGGAGCAGGCGAGAAGAGCCTGGATTTATCCCCCCCTAAAGGAAATACAAATGAATTTGTTGCAAATGGAATTGCTGGATTGCAGCCCTCTGTTTTTATTGTTTTTGGTGGGCGTAATTAGCCGGCTCTCTAAATCTTGCATGGAACGGTCAGTTCGATCTAATTATCATCATCTCAATTCCTCCCCGCCCCCCCCCCCAAGCTCTCTCTGTCTTTATTTTTCATCATTGTTGCTGTTGATCACTTGCACCTTATTAATCTGCTGGCTGCTGGTCTTCTGCAGCATTCTGCCCACTGCGGCAAGAGCTTGGTTTATCCCGCGTGCTTTCCCCTTAGCATTAGCAATCTTTCCCAGTAAGAGGATCAAATATCAGCATCTCTGGCTAGCCTTGCGGCTGCAGTGGTTTTCTGCTGTCCAAAATAGGGTCTGCAGTGTGGCAGATCAATAAACATGCCAGAGGAGTCACAAGAGCAGATGTTCCTGGGCTGAGACACCCCCATCACTGCTCTCCAATATTTCCCCCCACCCTACTGTTGGCTTACTCTCTGTCCTTGCAATTAGATGTGCTATTGGACCCAGTCCTAGGGAAAAAGAGAGAGAGAGCTTTGGAGTTCACCTTTCGAACCTCTATATTTATTTATTTATGTTATTGGATTTATATCCTGCCCTCCCCGCAAGTGGGCTCAGGGTGGGTCGCAACAGTTAAAATACAGACGTGGTAGACGTGCAGAGGTGGTAGAAGGGGCTCTACCACTTCAGACTGTAGGTGGGAAACTGCATTTTTAAAAGTTAATCCCTACATTAATCATCTCCTCTAGGTAGAAAACGAGCCCTGAATATGCAAGACAAGGATAAAACTCCCCTCACCCAGTACTATTTAACAAAATTACATCAGCGAGCAATAAAGATGTAGCACCCCCGTTGACAGTCTGGTACAGCCTATTCTACCAGTCCAGAATTCTGCCACCTAATTCTGCAATACGTCTGGACCAGACCTCAGAAAAAGAAATTCACTCTCACTGTATGCTTTGTACCCTTATCCTCCTATGGAAAATGCTTTCTTTACATTAGCCTCCATTCCCAAGGGGGTTAGCCATACTCCTTGATGCCTCCCTGTGGTTGACTAATAACATTAACATTTTTGTTCCTGGGGAATCCGCAGGAAGCATGCTTGAGATCATACCAACTACTTCCACCTGGAGGGTTTGCTCCATTCTGACTCTCAAACCGGAGTGGGCATTTTTGGAGCATTCACAAAACATTGTGCAGCAACCTTTATTATTTTAGGATTTCTGCCAGTTAGCTCGTGTTTCCCAGGTCTGTTTTACTCCAGTCTTTCTGGAAAGATCAGAGTCAAAGTTGGTTTGCCCATAGTGAGGACAGGCGAGTGCAGATTTCTGAACCTACGCCACCCAAACCTGGTGCCATTTCCCCTGCACATCCCCTTGGGCCTGCTATATTCCCCCGATCCTTCACACCAGCCTCATTTTATTCACTTATTTATTTTAATTCAGTAGTAGGTATATCACTATAGTGTCATAACGCTGTAGCAATTTACCTATTTTTTAAAAATGACCAGCAAAATGTACTGGCAGTGGGGGGGGGGGGAACGGCAGGCACAAAGAGATACCACAAGGAATACCCCCATGTTGGCCTGCTGTTGAGAGCACGACAGGGAATTGACCCCATGTGGAAGCAGCCACTGCAAATCGGTTCTCTTCTTTAATCCCCTCCCTCGCTCATATCCCTTTTTGTGTATTCATAATGCGGATGCTTAAAGAGTTGCAAGAGAGTGTTATTTCCCCCAGTTTCTTTGCCCGTGGTTCTGGTCGTTACGGGAGTTCCAATCCATTTTAGCAATTGGAAATATGGTCCTGCAGACTGGTAGCTGTTCCAGATCTATTAATGTGAAATGGAATGATATGATAAGTGTGTATATGGTTTAAGCTTATGACTGTTCTTGAGTTAAAACTGTGCTTTAAAATAGTTTGCGTAAAAGTGTGAGTTCTTCAACTAGAGGGTCTCTCTTTTTCTCCCTCCCCCCCACATTTTTTAAGGAAGCTCTCTACCTTTAATAAGCACATGGAAGAAAATGGCTATGAAACGGAACCCATATGGAAGGACATTGAAGAGGTGGTGGTGAAAACCCTGCTATCAGCCTATCCGATCATCAAGCACAACTATCTCACCTGTTTCCCCAACCACACCGTGGGAAGTGCTTGCTTTGAGATCTTGGGGTTTGATATTTTACTGGATCGCAAACTCAAACCGTGGTTGCTTGAGGTATGTTTTGCGACCAAACGAGTAGCCCGTATTTTAGTTTCCGTTTCAGGAGGGTGGCTGTGTTGGTCTGCAGTAGAAGCACTAGATTTGAGTCCAGAAGCACCTTAGAGAGCAGTCGTATTTTCGGGGTATCTGTCTTCTGTTCAGAATCAGTCCCTTCCCCTCCTCTTTTTCTCCACCCTTCCACCTCTGTTCCTTCTATCATTTCCCCCCCTCAGAAATGTAGCCCCGTGGCACCTTTTCCAGTCATGTGGATGACCAGCAGAGGGTGTTAGACTACAGGGAATGGCTTTTTTTGTTCCTGTGGTAATCCTCACACACAGAGTCTTATACTTTGGAAGCTTCAGTTGGGAGGGTAGTCAGCTGCATAAATAAATCTCCTGTGAGGATTAAGAAGAGAAACACTGCCAAGCTGGGTATCTGCAATGATTTATCAAATTCATCTTTCTGTCTTGGGAGAGCGATCAGCCAGATTCCACAGAGAAGTTTACAAGTGGGCCCCGGTGTTAATACTCATCCAGCCTGGTGTAGTGGTTAAGAGTGGCAGACTCTAATCTGGAGAACCGGGTTTGATTCCCCACTCGGCCTCCACATGAAGCCAGCTAGGTGATCTTGGGCCAGTCACCGTTCTCTCAGAAATCTCTCAGCCCCACCTGCCTCACTAGGTGCCTGTTGTGGGGAGAGGAAGGGAAGGTGATCATAAGCTGCTCCGAGACTCCTTCGGGTAGTGAAGAGCGGGGTATAAAACCAACTCTTCTTCCTCTTCTCCATCTTCGATAGTTGCTAATCAAAGCAGCAGCATTCCTTCATTGGAAGTAGAGGTTATACTTTGGACTCCTGCCAGATATAGGCTTCATATAATTCTAGCCGTTTAGGGCAGGTTTATTAATTTCCTGTGGTGATGAGTTTCGTATTTATTTATTTACTTTGTTTATATCCTGCTTTTTGGTCCAGTGGGGGATCCAAAGCAGCTTGTTGTTTTCCGCTCCTCCATTTTATCCTCACAACAACCCCGTGAGGTGGGTTAGGCGGACAGAAAGTGACTGACCCAAGGTCAGGTCACCCAGTAAGCTTCCATGGCAGACCAGGGATTCAAACCTGGGTCTCCCAGATCCTAGTCCGACACTCGGACCGCTCCACCACACTGGCTGGAGATGTTTATGTACTGCATGAATAAAAGGACCCCCCCCCCGTTTAACTTTAAGTCCCTTGTCTATCCATTGTCAATTGTTCTCATTTGTCTAGGTTTTTTTTTTAATCTGCCTTGTACTGAGGGTTCAGGGAGATATCAGGAATAAAACCAATCAAATAAAATACTCCTTACAATTCTCAGCTTAAGGTTTATTATTCATGACTTTCACCTAATGAAAGAGTACAGAAAAGACAAAAAAAACCCCATCAAAATATTACCATTATAAGTACAAATATAAATTTTGTAGCTATAAAAGCATCCATTCTCTTTGATATATATTCCAACATTAAAAGAAAGAAATGACAAACCATAAATCAGATCTCTTCCCTAGATCTTGTCCCGGTTTGTTGTGCTTTAATAGTAAATGTTCCCAGTGGGTTTAGTACAGTTCCATGCAGTGTATCATTCTCCAGCCATTATATAATGTTTTTCTTTACATGACCAAAGGTGCTTTTTTTTTTTTAACGTACCACTCATTTCAGTATATAAAGGACAAATGCATTCATTGTTATTTCAGTAAGCGAATGTTGTTACGTTCGGTTTTCATACTACCTGTTAAGCAATCTGCAAAAATCTTGAATTCGTAATAGTTTGCTTCCAAAAAGTATTTTGTCCAAATAAGGGCTCTTGGCTACAGACTTCCGTAGACAACTTAACATTATTTAAGTACTAGTGAAATGATAGATTCCATTTGTTTTGCCAAGGTACCTTGGGGCACGCAGGCGTTCTGATTTTGGCACCCAAACAGGAACTTAAAATTACACCTCGTTCCAGACATCAAAATTTCAGACATCAAAATCTAATCATAGAATCCAGTTAGTAGTTAATACTACTGCTAAAAAATAATAATGTTAAATAACAAGATTGAAAGGCTAGAACAGCCCAGTGGTTAAAATTACAGCTAAGAAACTTTCAGTGTCATTTTAATTCTAGTCAGTACCAATCAGGAAGTACTTACAATACACCGGAAGTTTTTCAAGCTTGAATACTGGGGAATTTGTAGAAGAATGGACTACCATAGTCAAAAGCCGTATGTACACCTATTATATGTATATATTATGGACATAGTTTTTGATAGTTGTGGAAATATGCCCTGAATGTTCTAGCAAATGGGAGCGCTGCTTCCAACACTGGAAACGTTAAAAAATTGGCTTCAGCATATTTCTCGTGTATGTATTTTATGTCTGGTATTCCAACACTTTTCTTTTCCCAGCTCTTATACTTGAAATCTTAATGAATGCAAACATGCCACATTCCTGTTATTGCAGGTGAATCATTCTCCGAGCTTCAGTACTGATTCATGGCTCGACAAAGAAGTAAAAGACCAACTCCTGCATGACACTCTGGTTCTGATAAACTTGGGAGCCTGCGATAAGCGGAAAGTGTTGGAAGAAGAGAGGCGGCGAGGGAAAGAAAGGCTCCTCAAGCAGTGCCGTAATCGAGAATCGAGGTGTGAGCTCATCTCGGGACTGTGTACATTGTACAAAGTGGAATGGATTTGCATGTCTCCCTTTTTTAGCTTTTACACAGAGCATAGTACTATATTTTTGATGCAGCTTCCCATTCATTCAGTATCCCTCTTTAAATAGGAGTCTCACAGATGTATTAAAGCGGCAAAATTAGCCAGTGCAACTCACACAGTACCTGGCGATTTAGGCCAGAATTTGATAATGCAACATACACACAGTGGCCACCAAATAAAAGAGGCAGGCAAGCATCTAGTGTCTCCTCCTATCCATAATGTCTACTACAGCCTATCCATATCCTGATATCACAACAGTGCCCTTGCCCACTGAGCACCACGTTTTTAGATGGGAAATTGCATCTGTATATTATAATATCTAGCTCTGGCCTTCACAAGCTTCGTTACTGTATCACAGTATAGGAAAAACACACACATTTAAAAACAGACAACTTTAGGTGTGTCCCCCCCCCCAAAGGATGCAAATTAGGATGAATTAGCTAATGTACACAGAGGAGAAAAGACGCAGTTCAAAGCCATAAGGATGTGGCCATTGCAGCTCTTTAGCGTGTTTCATTTTGCTTTAGTTTTGTCCTCTTCTCTGTTTTTCTCCTGCATATGTGCTTTCTTCTCTCAGCAAATCCAGGCTGGCATTTATGTATATCCTAAAATAGCCAAATTGGTGCAATTGTGCCATATTGTTTCCTACCCCCCTTACAAATAGACTTTTGTGGAATATATTGAAAAATGCAGAGCGTGGCTGGAATCCTTAAGACGTGACTGTGAAGTAGCCAGGTTTAGGTTTGTGGCTGAAGATCCATCAGCAGTCCAGAGCATTTTCAGTAGCAGTGCAAACAGTCAGGCAGCAGGCCCAGCTTGTGTATCAACTGCCCTGATTTTTCTAGGCACCGTAAATAGAGCTTCCAAGCCTTCAGCAAAGGCAGGGAATAAAACAAGACAGTGCATCACCTGTGTAAGCATTGCAGCGGGAGCAACTAGTTTGCAGAAAGGAACCCATTGACGTAGCAGTGTGCATGTGATTAATTTCGCATTTGTGCATAAGTAAATTTTAAGAAGACAAAATGTTCTAAAAGGTAGTGCAGTTTTTAATCCATTTTTTCAGTCAGATTTCTTTGGCAGCCTGCAGAGATATCAAGAAAACAAAGGGAACAAAAAATGAATTTCATGCAAACAGAGGATCTGGATCCAACCAGTTCTTTTGCAGGTGGAAAAGGAAAGGTGTCCCTTTGGCCACCAAAAAGGTTATGCCAGGGATTATGGGACACACATGGTCAAAAGCCATGTGGAACAGGGGCCTGTAGCCAGAAGTGGAATTGGGTGAGGCTGTCTGGATCGAGCTCTTTCCACTTATAGTGTTCCAGATGTTATTTATGTACTCAAATCTCCACTCATATATAGGTAGCTCTTGCAGCAAGCAAGAGGAGAGCCAGAGCAGGGGATTCTTCCACGGGCTTTTGACAGCTTTTTTTCTACTCATGTCATCCTCCCTTATCAGGGCACTAAGCCGGCACAAGGAAGCTCAGTTCCCATACTGCAGGGGACCTGGCATTTGGGGGGGGGGGGGGATTTTTTTTTTCCAGTCTTTTCTTCCTCTGTGGGAAGGCAGGCAAGGGAGAGCAGAACTGCACTGCATGAACTTGAATTCGCCTTCAGATTTTCTGTGTCAATTAAAATAAGCAAACAAATATGCAAAAGCTATTGTGAGCAGGTCCTCCTGCCTCTGACCTTCATTTCCCTGCGTGCAAAACTAAAAGAGGTCTGATTTAAGAGCCCAGAATGGCAGCATAAAATTGAAAACGGAAAGATCTCCCACTGTGGACATTTTCTCAGGGGTCGTTAACAGTTTTACTTGGGTGGTTTTACCAGGGCCGAGGAATACAAGAACTACCAAGCAGCTTGGCTCAAGCAAGCTGAGAAATACGAGGAAAAACACATTGGAGGCTACCGCCGAATTTACCCCGCTTCCGATTCGGACAAGTACAATAAGTTTTTCCAGCACCACAATTCGCTCTTCCAAGAAACGGCGGCTTCCAGAGCGCGTGAAGAGTATGCCAGGTAAAGAAGAGCCTCTTAGATACGATGCAGCATGTTTTGTTTTTGTTTTTAAGGGCTACATTTAGTCTCGTTTATAGTTTTTAGTCCTAGGCCCTGACACTGCTGCTAAGTAACAGTTCACTCCCTCTCTCTTTGGCGTGCAAACCGGCCTTTAGAGCCAGAACAGACATGACAAAGATCATGGATCTCCATCGGTCTATAAACAATAAACTGTGTGCATGCGCAGCTGCTATCCAGATTAGGGCCGAGCGGGATGGGAAGAGGGGATTTAACCCTGCAAGCCCCACACTCGGTTTCACAAATTGAAACCGGGTTCCCCATGCTGCTGTAAGTAGTTTTAAAGGACAGAGAGATGCTTCCTTTTAAAACCTGATTTGGAAGTCAAAGTATTGGCATTTTGCAGTTGTTTTTGCTTTAATATCTTTGTTTACAAAAACTGTATGGCTCTAGTAGGTGTTTCCATGAATGCACAAAGGCAGTTCTCAGTCCCACAGCCATTTCCCAGAATGCTGTCCTGCTCGAAGCCCAGCAAATTCCAGACTGTTCCTCCTTGATCCCTCCTGGCAGTTTCTGAGGTTTTATCCCCCAGGGAGACTTTGTGTGTGTTGGGAGGGGGTTACTGGTATACTCCCAAGTGTCTTTCCACACAGGCATATTAAGGTGGTCTTGTAGCAGCCGAGTCATTTGCACTGTACAGTGTACAATGCCCATAATGTCCACCGTTCAGCTTGATGAATAGCCAGTACGATATCTTCAAGACACATCATGCGTTAGGAAAAGGCAGACCGTTTGCTGTTTTAATTCAGAGGCTCCAATCAGGAAACCTTCCAGACTCCTCTTGCTCCACACACAGTAATGTCGCTGTTGTGGTGGACCAGGCCTCTGCCTGTTCACTTGCAGAGTCCCAATCAGAAGTTGGACTCTCTCGTAGCCACTATTCAATTTTAAAAGATCTGATCACAGATCTCCGAGCGTCTCATCTGTCTCGAAGATGTGAAGCACATTTTGGCACTGCATATTACGAATGCTGTCAACAAAGGAAGGAATTTGGAAGAAGCATTCGAAAGAGTATCCTTGCCAGTTCAGGCTTTGCCTTTGCAATAGGAGCTGATTTAAATGAAGCCAATTAAAGCCACGCCTGTAAAAAAAAACAACTTACGACTCCAATCCAGTTACCACATCAGTTCGCCTATATGGTGCGATGGCTTTTAGACCAAACATCAACGTAACTACCAAAGCATTAAGATTAAAATGTTAAAATAATGCCATATGTGGTGGTGGGAAGTGCTGTCAAGTCGCAGCTGACTTATGGTGACCCAGTAGGGTTTTGAAGGCAAGAGATGTTCAGAGGCGGTTTGCCATGGCCTGCCTCTGCATAGTGACCCTGGACTTCCTTGGTGGTCTCCCATCCAAATACTGACCAGGGTCCACCCTGCTTGGCTTCCAAGATCTGATGAGATCGGGCTAGCCTGGGCCATCCAGGTCAAGGAAATACAATATATTGTAATATTTATTCTTTAAAAACCTTAAAGTTTAGATGAGGCCCTGTGGCTCAGTATCTTTGAAGATACTATGTGACTTTTATGGGGCCAGAGGAAACGTGACCGAGATTACTCAGCAACAGATCCAGGTGTAGTAGAAAAGAGCAAGAGTCCAGTAGCACCTTAAAGACTAACAAAATATGTGGCAGGTTAGGAGCTTTCATGAGTCACTGCTCACTTCTTCAGATACAGCTAGAATGGGAGTCCATCTGCCCTATTTATTGGAAAGTGATTTCAGATGCCAAATGGCATTAGCAGGCAAATGACAGTAGCAGGTGTGATTGGATTTAGGTGAGATATGGAGAGGGGTAATGGGCATGGAGAAATCAGCATTGGTAATGAGACGGGAAACCTAGGTCTCGATTCCATCCAGGTGGATGCATTGTCTTGAGCTTCATTATCAATTGCAGTTCAGCAGTCTAGGGCCAGGTGTGGGCATTTTGGTGCTCTGATAAAATATATTAAATTGTTCATACATGGATGGTGAGGGTCCTCCTGAGCATGGATGGCCCCCGTGCTTGTGTTCAGTGCAAGCTGAAGTTATGGGCAGCACAGGCTGGGGAGGCGTCACGTCCCCAACTCATTCTGCTTCCTGCCAGGAGGAAAGAGAGGTGTAGCTGGCCTTTCTTCTGGGTGGCACAAGTGTGGTAGGCATCTATCGCCTTGATGACCCATGCCACCAGTGGCCAGGACTTGGGAGGAAGGCAAGCTTACCGTGATTCTCACCCTGGACCTCAGCAGCACTGAAGTTCTGGAGACGACAATGTCGGCAAGCCACATGCGTCCCTTCCCACGGGGTCCTCTTCAGATTGTTCTTGGGTTGCTTCTGCAGCAAACTGGCCTCGCTTGTGATTTGTTTTTGTGGCTCATGTAACTGTGGCCAGCTTCTCCCTAGTTTCATCATCCAGGATAGCCCAACCGGATTCCCTGAAACCCTAAGAGCATCGTCTTGCTGGATCAAATAATCTCTAGAAGCTGACAAGCAGGGCAGGAAGACAACAGCCCTCATTGTGTGTCCCCAGCATCAGATGCAAGGAGTCAGATACTGCCTCTGAATCTGGAGGTCTGTTTAGCTGTCACGACTGACCAGTGTTGATAGATCTGCCCGCCATGAATTTGCCTACTCCCTTTGAAAAGCATCTGTGCCCTGACCTGGAAGGGCCAGGCCAGCTCGAACTCATCAGATCTCGGAAGCTAAGCAGGGTCGACCCTGGCAAGAGCTTCGATGGGAGACCTCCTTGGAATACCAGCAGTCGGGAGGCGGGGGCAGGCTTTACTCAGCCACCTCTCTGAATGTCCTCCAGGCCCCCAGTAGGGGTCAGTCACCAGGGTCTCCATGACTTCCAGGTGTACGCACACTCGCATGCACATATGAAAAAACATACAAGAAAAGAAAAGCATCTAAGCCATTGACCAGAGGTAGAAATTTTCATGTGTATACTGCCTGTGTTCTTGATCGGTAAATCGTCTCCCCTCTGAGAGCCCTGGCATCCGGACCCAATTTGTTAAAAACACAAATGTGTAGTTTGGCCTTCTCTTGGAGGCCAGGAGTGGTATCTTAAGCATGGGGACAGCCAGGAGGTGGCTCCTGAGGAGTTTAGCCAGCTGTCTTGGCTTGCCTGACCAAGGACATCACACTAATTTCTCCTGTTGCTGTCCAGCAAGGGGCAGCCCCAGGCCAGACGGTTCAGAACCTTTTTGGTACAGTCAGCGACCCAAAAGTTCAAATGTACTTAGTATGGTGACCCATCCAGGGCTGGCCCAAAACCTTTTGCTGCCCTAGGTGAGCTAAGACCTGAGCACCCATTTAGTTCAGCGTTCCATTTTCTTCAGTGGCTAACCAGATGTTTTTGACAAACCAATGAACATTGCACAAAGGGTGCAGCTGCCTCAGTTATGAAGCCCAAGCAAGTGGCATTGTGACATACACAGCCTTTGCACATGGAGGTTCCATTCCAGCCTTTGACAACCCTCTCCTTCTCCATTACTCTAATACCCCCTAAGATTTTCACTCACTCTAGTGACTCTCAGGACTAGTATATGCAGTGTGTGTGTGTCGGGGGGGGGGGGAACCCAACTAAACTGGGTAGCCATGTTAGTCTGTCTGTAGCAATAGAAAAGGGCCTTTAAAAAAAAAAATCTGTTTTTAAACAGAGGCTAGATGGCCATCTTGCACTGCTGATTCTGTGAACTGAGGCAGATCATGAGAGGGAGGGCAGGAAGAGTTGCATCAGCGCTTAGCCCAGGGAAATGCTGATTGCCACTTTTGGGTCAGGAAGCAATTTGTCTCAATAGAAACGGAGTATTTGTGGGAAAATACACGGAAAATATAAAGAAAATTGTTATAAGATGATGTATAGGTGGTATATGACACCAAAGAAAATTGCTAATATGAATACAAATATGTCAAATAAGTGTTGGAAGTGTAAAAAGGGGGAGGGCTCTTTTTATCATATGTGGTAGACATGTGAAAAAGCAAAAAAATATTGGAGCCAAATTAATGAAGAGATGGAGAAGATTTTGAAATATACGTTTAAAAAAGAGCCAGAACTGTTGCTTCTAGGTTTGAAAATGGAAGAAGTTAAAGCAGATAAAAGGACTTTGATGTGGTATATGGTGACAACAGCTAGACTGATATATACTCAATATTGGAAACAAGAAGAAGTACCGAGAACAGAAGATTGGATTAAGAAATTGCTGTTTGCAGTAGAGATGGACAAAATGACAAGGAAATTGAATAATATGGAAGCAGAAGATATTGATAGTGATTGGAGAGATTTAAAAGATTATTTAGAGGAATATTGGGAAGTAAAGGATATCCTATTTTGTTTTAACAACTATTAAATATAGAATATTCTTTTAGAATTTTTAAAGGATAAGATGGCTAAAGAAAATAAGTGTTATAAAGCAAAAAGTTACCTAGTGAACTATGAGAATAAACAAAATCGGAAAAGAGAGGAGAAGTGAATTTGCAGGAGGTTGAAGCACTGTGGGAAGCCAACTACAAGGGGGGGGGAAAGGGAGGTGGGTTAGGGTGTAACGGGGAAAATACAGAAAATGTAAAGTGTTGACCATGTATGTTTATATCCTAAATAAAAAATGGGGGGGGGGGGGGAAGAAATTTGTCTCCAGGCCAGTTTGGCCAGGGATCCTGGAGGTTTTTTACCATCTTCTGGGGATGGAACAGGGTCCGGAGGGGAGGTATTTGTGAATTTCCTGCATTGTGCGGGGGGTTGGACTAGATGACCCTGGAGGTCCCTTCCAACTCTGATTCTATGAAGAGTCCAGTACCACCTTAAAGACTTAACAAAATTTGTGGCAGGGTATGAGCTTTCGTGAGTCACTCCTCACTGCTTTCGTGAGTCACTGCTCACCTTAAGAAAGCTCCTCCCCTGCCACAAATTTTGTTAGTCTTCAAGGTGCTACTGGACTCTTGCTCTTTTCTACTGCAGCTAATGTACGACATGTTTTGAGGGTTAGATCTCGGTTTCCAAGATACAAAAGACGGTAATGGAAAGGGCAGGGGAGGCCATTAGGGAGGGCTGACCTGCAACCCACTTGCAGAGGCTTCACGACCCACTTTTGGGCCCCAAAACCACGGGTTGGGAAACACTGCCCTAGGCAACCACCTCACAGTCAGCCCTTTTCTGGGAACCCACAGGAGGTTTAAGGGGATCCACACATTCAGTACAGGGTCGGAGTGATGCCTCTTCCCCATCCTGGATCTGTCATAAACTCTTCCGTTCCATCTCATCAACAGGCAGCAGCTCCAAGAGTTACGCCTCAAGCAGGAACAAAAAACAGCTCTCTCAAGAGAAAAGAAGGTGGAACTCCAGGGCGAGTCTGGTGGTGAAAAGATCAAGGTTTACAGGCAAAAGATGGTCTCCAGAAGAACAGTGGTGCGAACCTGTGCCCAGGTAGGACAGAAATGGAAACATTTCTCCTGTTCTTTATTTTCCCCACTACCCTGTCAGGTACTTCCGTAGAAATACGAAAGGAAATGGAAAGACCTGTTGAATTCCACATGGATAAATCAATGGCAGGGACCAAACCCCCCTCAGATTAAGTGCTGACCTGTATACAATTTGGCTCACTTAAAACCCACAGAAATCAGTCGAACTTAAACAATCCAAACAGCCCTCCCTTTGACTCCTTATGCTTGACAGTGCTCTGCAGTAACTTCATGCTTCTAACATGATTTGTTTTATTTATCATACTAACATCTTGGTTTTCCTCTGAGAAGCTCAGTGTAGTACACAAAGGGGCTGTCGGATTGTATCCTCCCAGCAGCCATGTAAAGTGTGGGTTAGGCTGAGCAGGAGAGTCACTTGCTCAAAGGCAGCCATTGTATTTCATGGCTCAGCAGGGATTTGTTGTCACTTCTGAAGCTCTCTGGGTCTCTGGTCCCTCATCTATACATGTCTGCTATATCTCACAAACTCGGGGGCTCAGGCAGGGACAGGGCATGTGGATGCCATCCCTACAGGTCTTCACCCCACTTGCTTCAGGGGTGGCTTTTCCCACCCCCATGTGGAAACAGCCAAGGGTAACAAATTGGGGGGAGGGGAGAGAACAGCAGAGGAGGAACATGAACAAAGGCACCTACTTATACTTAGGGCATGCAACTTTAAGAACATAAGGAGAGCCCTGCTGGATCAGGCCAATAGTCCATCTAGTCCAGCCTCCTGTTTCACACAGTGGCCAACCAGTTCCTCTGGAGGGTCAACAACAGGTCATAGAGGCCAAGGCCTTCCCCTGAGGTTGCCTCCTGGCTCTGGGATTCAGAGGATTGGTACTTCTCAATGTGGAGGTTCCCCTCAGTCACCACGGCTAGTAGTCATTGATAGAGGGCGTGCGGGGAGGGCGGGGTATAAATGGAATAAAATAAATAAATAAATAGACGTATCCTCCATAAATCTATCTAATCCCCTTTTAAAGCCATTTATTCCTGTGGCCATCACTACAACTTCTGACAGTGAATTCCACATTTTAATCACTCTCTGTGTAAAGTAGTATTTCCTTTTGTCCTTCCTGAACTACTGCCCATAATTTTCACTGGATGCCCTCAAGTTCTACATTTCTTTGAAAAAGCCACCAGAACCTAGAGTCTTGCCTGTATATTTATTTTCTTTTATTAGGAGCATTGATATCTGACCTTTTCTTGTGGGCTGCTATGTTTGGAAGTTTTAAGGTTGTTGTATTTCCTGGGGGATTTAGTAGAGTTTGAGTGACAGTCCTGTTCCTTGGGTCTGAACGGGTATTTTGCTGAACTTCATTGTTGTTTTTCATTAGGAATATTCTGAACTGCTAAGGTAAAAGCAGGGTATAAATATTTAAATTAATTAATCTAATAAAAATCTGACGACAAATGCAGTGGGGAAGAGAACAGAAAAGCGTACTAAATGTTTAACGAGGGCAGTAGATTAGGGGGATAGGTTACTGCTCAAGACCTGTTGGTCAGAGGAGTGGAAAGAGGGTGGGTGGGAGGGAGGTGACAGCAGGTCTACTTGGCTAATGGATGTATAGAAATGGGGGGGGGGGATTCCAAGGGGTAGGGACAAGGACATGAGGAGAAGGAGGAAGAAAAACTCAGTGAGATGACTGTGCAAGGTGCTGGCAGCCTGAACTCTGGATGCCAGTGTATTGCTTACCCTTGGGTCAGCACTGGTGCCACTAGTCAATATGTGTTACTTATAATCGGGGTCATTTCGTAGAAAAAGAGGTGCAGGAGCTCATTACCACAACTCATTAGCATAACTTATTTGCATATGCCACACCCCCTGACATCACCAGAAGTGTGTCAGAAGGCAACACCCACTGCTCAGGCTCTACTGGACTGTTTTGGATTGCTAGCTATTGGGGGGGGGGACGTGCAGATCTGTCCTCGCAGAGGAGGGAGAGCTTGTACCTGAATAAAACTTGGTCTTAAAGGTGACACTGGACTGTTTTGGGCCGGGGGTCTCTGCAACTTACCTGGCTGCTTCTTGCTCTGACTGAGGGCTGCTGGGAGCAAGGGGCGGGGCTTGTTGCATATGCCCACCCCCTGGGCTCTTTACTGCCGGAGCTCCTGCAGGAAATAACCCCTGCTAATAATGGTTGTCGATGCTCCTGGTGACTAATAAACACTGATCGGTTCTAGAGGTTCATGTGCCTCTGACCCTTCATATCTGAACTCAGTACCATTTTGCAATTCTTTTCCCTCTCTACTCAGCCTCAGGTTTGTTCAGAGTCTGAGCCTGGGACTGCTGACCTGCTTCAGAATATCTCATACGAGCAGGACCCCAAGAAGGAAGCAGCCTGTGTTGATCCAAATCTCTTCCATCCAGAGAGCCCCGGGTCGAATAGCTGTCCAGAAGGGTCAGAGAAACATCCCGTGAGGCCTTATAGCTCCGTGCCTGACCTTGCCAGGGAGAATTCATCCAGTCCTGCAGAGCAATGTCACTCCAACCCTGAACTGGGGGACACCATTGGCAGTCATCCCTCTGCAACAGATGGGAGCATTATATCAGTAGTAAGTAACAAAGCTGTCTCTCTGTAGCATATTATCGCTGCATTGCATTCCCAATCTCAGTTCTGCATCAGGCAAGAAACTCAAAGCCAGTCCTTCGTACCGTGTTGCTCAGAAGCCTTTGGCCACCTATTAGGCTTTCTTGGTTTGGTACAGTCCTATTTAGATATAATGGGTTGGATCGAGACCAGATTTTTTTGTTAATGAAAGGCACTTTCATCAGTGGAGCAGAACTTTCCTGCCTCCCACTGGAGCCCACTCATCTGCCTGAAATAGGGTTGGCAGGGCCGGGTTGGGAAATACCTGGAGATTTTGAGGGCGGAGCCTGGGAGGGGTTTGGGGAGGGGAGAGAGTATGGTATAGTGCCATAGAGTCTGCCTTCCAAAGCAGCCATTTTCTCCAGGCGAACTGATCTCTGTCAACTGGAGGTTAGTTCTAACAGTGGGAGATCTCCAGCCATCACCTGGAGAATGGCAACTCGGGGGGCAGGGACCCTCAGGAATGGCATGAACAATAGATCAGGGGTCTGCAACAGGAAGAGGAAATGGGTGGAAATTACAATGTCCCATTCTGTTAGTGGAAAAGTTAGGCTGGATCCTGATGGGAGAGCGGGTATATTAAGCCAGATCCCTTGCTAAGTTAGCAGAGGGGACTAAAGGCTCAGAACGCAGCAGAGCTCCTCTGAACAGCGTACACTTGTTAAGACTACAGAGTTACACAGAGCCACGTATCAGTTTAAAAGAAAATAACTGATTTATCTAGGAAATGCATACTTGATAGTGCAGCGTAGGAACAGGTACAGATTCTACTCTACCTAGCCTAGTGATGGATGCGGGTGCTCCTTGGCATCTGGCAAAGGAGGAGAAATGTGGCCTCCCTGTATGTATGCAGGAAGAGAGAGAAGGAGATGGAAGGGGTTAGTGGGAGGTCTCCAGCCATCACCTGGAGAATGGCAACTCGGGAGGGGCAGGTTCTTCCACACATCTTCCACACATCTGGTTCTTCCACACATCTTCCACTCAGGGGCACATCTGATTCTTCCAACAAATCCATGTCTGAACCCAGCTCTGGATCAAAGCCCTCGATCACATAAGAAAGAGTTTCATAGCTTTCGCACGAGTCCCAGGTGCTCACGTTTTGTGTTGTCCAAGTATTTCTACCTGTCTGAATATAACAATATGGTACAGTGCAGCTTCCATGTATTAAGCACAGATAGGTAACTTGATTCGTTTGCTTATGCTCGACTACTGAAACAACCCCCATAAGTCAGTCACAGTCTGAGATCGGATTGTCTTAACTGGATCAGCTCTTGGGTCTCTACCAGATGAGTTACTGGAAGGATTGTTCATGTAGGCAGCCGGGACTCTCACAGATTTACCTTTTCTCCTTTACCAGCTACAACCACCAGATGAGTTTCCAAAAATGTTTGCAAAAGAAAGCCCCAGTCCTCCCAAGCAGCTGCCGGAGATGCTGCAGCCTCGTGCCACGAGTGCAATGGCTGCTGGACGGCCTTTCTGCAGCACCTTGATGATTAAAAATGTTCAGCCTTTTGGAAGCCAGCGCGGCCAGCAGCGTGCTAGAAAAACCACAGCCTCTGCACAGTCGGCCGTCCAGAGGCTGAGAATGAATTTCCCAGAGAACAACAGTGAAAAAAGAACGCTCTTGGTCTCAGAATTCTTTAGCAAGATCAACTTCACACCGGTGGAGAAACCTCTCAGTCTTTCAGTGCAACACCAGCTTCGTCACCTTCCCAACAGAGCACGTGAGTGCTGATTGTTTGGCTTCCTGGAATCTGAGCATATTGTGTATCTGCCCAAACAGAGGGAAGATCGAGTGTTTGACTTTGATCTGGCAAAATGTAAGATGGGGCTGTCTGGTTCTATTGCAAGCTTTTAAATATGCACAGGTTCTTCCTCAGACATTGGGTACAAGCGGGATTGTTCTGGTTTGGGGAACTGAGCACAGTTCCGCAGGCACAAGACCTTGTGCAACAGTTAGTGCTTTCCTTTCTATAAATATTATAATACCCTGAAATTGGATGTGCAAGATCTTGCACAAATGAAAATGCAAGTGGGGACACAACATTTTACTTAGTACAGCCACCGCAGCCTTCTCCTTGTGTTTCCACTTGCACAAGAGCTCTTAACGCAAGTGAAAATTTTGCGCTGGATCCAACCCATGGAGTAGCAAAATCTCTGTAAAAGTGTCTTTTATGGATCTTGACTTACTGGGTCAGCATTGTTTAACTTGCCGTTTAAAGGCCATCTTTTATATTTACTTTTTATTGGCTATATAGACTATGGAATATAGATTGCCCTCCCTACCACGGTAAACACTCAGAAATGAAAATGACTTCAAACCTGCACATTGAGGCACCATAGAAATTTGGAAGAGCCAAATTTAAAAGTTGCTGACAATGATTTGAGGTGAACGCTGACAACTTCAGTTGAACGTTTTTCTTTTCTTATTAAGACAGCTATTGTATATCAATCCCAAACTGCAAAACATTTGTTCATGGGGGATATAATAGAAAAGGGGGGAAAGTTCAGTTTTCTTTTTGATCAAACTTTGTGAAGAGAAGATGGATCTGGGACATCAGCGTGTGCCTGCAGGATTTCAGAGCTGCCATGACAACTGTGGGGCTGTCCTAATGTATTATCCCCCCCCCCCACATTTTGCATGTGTTCTGTGTAAGTGTATCTGTGCCTTTACTTCCTAGCGAATACAAATGAGGCTGGTTGTGGGAACATGATTTACAGTTGTAAGAAAGAAGCCTCCCCCCCAGAAATGGCTTCAGGATTTTGGCTCCCACATGGCTCCCAGTTTTTTGTCTGTACATGTGTGATCGGCATGTGTGCAATCTCACTTCTGTGTTCCACAGAAAGCGCCCTCCTCCCAAGAGACATGCCTCTGAGCAGCAGGAATGCGTCATTTTACAGGAGGCAGGGAAAGTACTACAATGCCCACATAAACACGCAAAAGCCAACCTTCCAGCAGCGCAGCTTGCAAGACCTTCTGGTGATCTCGCCGGTGAAGCAGCAGTCCGAGGAAGCAAAGAATCCCATGTGGGGAGTCATCCCAGGGGCCAAGTAACAGGCAAGGATGATGGCTGCCAGCTTAATGACTCCGATTCTGAGAACACCTTCCTGAGATCAGATCTCACTGGATGAAGCAGGTGGACCTGTTTAGATGTAATCCCTTTGTGTTGAGAATGGTAAAGCTGTAGGGACAGGGTGACCTTGAGCCAGGAGAAAACCTTCCATGTAGTTGACTTACTGCAGCCACCTTTCACAACTGTGTATACATAAACACACACACACATATTGCTTTTTTTAAAAAATTATTTTTTTCCCAAAAAATATTGAACTTCTGCACAAATGCAAGACGAGCTGTGTTCTTTGGCCTGTGTAAATAGTGCAAACCCCCCCCCCAACAACATTCAAATTGACATACATTTCCTTCATTTGCAAACTGGGTTTCTCTTCCGCTTTCCATAGTGACGAGGAACGAGCTTATTCCCTTATTCCCGAAATCTTATTCCGTACACACTGATAGCTCTGCTCAGCTCTGCTCGGCCTCCAGCCATTTCACCAGGCATTTGTCAAATACTTCCAAGCCTGCCTTTGCAAGAAGCTTACCCCTTATAAAAAATGAAAGCTGAGATTCTGAGGATACTGGGGGGGGGGGCATCCCACTTCCCATTTTCACCCACTTTAAGCACAGTTTCGAACACAATTGTAATGCGTAGCATAGTTTAAAAGTTTATGCCGCTATAGTTTTGTCATTCAGGGGACATAAAACTCTCTTCACTGTTTCGTCTGCTTCAGAAGCCATGAGGTACAGTTGCAGATTAATCTAGAAAACATGATATAGAATTGGAAACAAGAACTGAAAAAGTAGGCTGTCCCTGACAATCATTGGGACAGTCTATACCAGGGGTCCCCAATGTCGGGCCTGTGGGCACCCACCAAGTGTCTTTAGGAAGTGGGCGGGGCCAAGTAGAGCTTTTGCCCAGCAAGGCGTCTGATTGACTACTGAAGATTTGATTGGCTGTGAGGATCTTTTAAAATGTTGCTTTGGCAGCAAATGCCCCCACAGCACAAGGATCTATACTGTGTTAACTGAAGTTAAGCCTTGGCAATCATTTTGTGGCTGGCTCTGCCTCCTGAGGCAGCCATTTTGCAACAGCCATTTTGTTGCTGCGCCTACCATGCCATGTCAGAATTCAAAATGTGACCACGGGCTCAAAATGTTTGGGGACCCCTGATCTGTACAATGACCTCTTCTGAGGGGTTACTCTTCCAATCTCAAGCTTCAAATTCCACACCACCCATAATTCCAGTCATGCTGCATTATATTCCCCCAATAACTGTCTGTATTTCCTTTCCATGTAGATTGGAGAAGAGGGTGGCGTATTACAGACAGGAGTTATCCAAAGTCACCCATGGGCACAATCAGATAACACTTTATTTTTCATAGCAGGCAACACATAGGCACCTAGACGTCAATGACCATGTATGGTATAAAGCAAATACTAGGGCAATTGGAAAGACCTGTTTTCCCCCCCAACTAACTGTGTAGATTTGGCAATAACCAAGAAAGAGAGATCTGCTTTTCTCTAGAATGGCAGATGTTGAGAAAGATCTGCTAATGCTAGGAAGGTTTTGCAAGAAGCCAGGTTCATGCAAATGCTGTCGGAATAGAAATCGAGGAAGGGCAGTCAGCAATGTTCCCTCTAAGATGTGGAGTCTTGTGAGCAAAAATCCTACTTTGTGAGCTACTGGCATTAAAGTTGTGAGCGAGTGATTTGGCTGCTGCATAGATCAGCTTGCTCGGGAGCCATCCCTCCCTGAGCTAAAACAAAAATATGTGAGCCAGAGGCTAAAAAACTGTGAGCTAGCTCACACTAACTCAGCTTAGAGGGAACAGTGGCAGTCAGGCATTTGTCCACTAACAGTGGAAAGGCATGGCCATGGTTGAAGGATATGTAGTGCTTCGAGGAAAGTGGTCTCCTAAGGTCATTATTATCATCACCAAACCCCCCTGGCTGGAGGAGGAAACATAACCACAAAAGTTCACATTTCACACTGCTTGTACTTACTAAGACCACAAACTGATTCGTGGAGGAAATGGGGAAAGGATGAGGAAAACACACGGTGTTGGATCCAGCTACCTTTCCACTCAATCTCACCCACGTGCCCTCCATACTACAGCCCCCGTGCCTTATGCTTTTGTGCATACAGGCTCTATGTTCTCCAGCATAGCATTTTGGGTAACCAAATGTGAACTTTTCTTCATTTTTCACCAGCAGAAAAGCTGGTTGGAGCCAACCTAGAAAAGCAAAGGGCTGAGACACATGTCATCTGGACAATGACTAATAACAGGGTGAACCAAGCATTATAGCAAGAGAGAGAACCCCTCCTATGGATTCTTTCTGCAGCTCTTGAGAGATACTCAGCATTGTCAAATTTGATTTGATTTCTCCATATGGCTTGCCAGAACAAAAAGCAAGGAATAAATTTAGTGAATAACCGAGAGTCTGTTGGCGATGCCCTGAACAAAATAGAATCGTTGCCTTTATCATTTGCTCATAATCTCATTTCGTTCCAGGGTCTGAGTGAATCTTTTGCGAACAACAAAGGGTGGCTCTGGAACCCAATACGTGGTGCCTTTATTGAGAACCCGTCATCATTTGACGTGTATCCTTTCGAAATATCCTCCTGTGTAAAGGAGCTTCCATGCAGTGAATGAAATTTGGCATGTAAAATAGGTTCTTTTTGGAACAAAGGAGTCTTGAGATGATGGACGTTCCTGACATTTGGCTCCCTGAAGAATTATCTGGTTGACGCTGTTGCTGCTTTGCTCTCTGAAAAATCCTCTTCCACCCATTCTCATGAAGGACGGTGCTGCATTGAGCCGACTTCAAATACTAGAGAGTTGCTCTTCTGTGTTGCTTCCACTCATAAGCTCCTCAAGACCTGCATCACATGCAGTCTTGTTCCATACTTTGAAAAACCGAATCCCAGCAGTCAAGCCAGATTTGCACTTGTCCGATTCCTTCCACTGAAAACCAGCTTACACTGCAAGAAGAACAGTTCAGGAGTATGGTCTGGATAACCTTTGTCAGCTGTTTGTCCACATGCACCCAATTGGTGGTGGGCGATACACCAAATCTCTATGTTTCCATCCCCCCTAGAGGAGAAGAGCTCCTGCAGGATCAGTTTTGAGTAGGCAGACAGCTGGAGGGGAAAGGGTTATGTAACTCCTTCTTCCAGTGCTCTTCCACTCCCTCTTACAGCTGCTGAGACTTTCACCACCAACTCCCCACCCACCCCGAAAAATAACCCATCAAGGGACAAAGATTTATTTTAGTAAACAGGAAGAGAAATTGCAATGAACTGACAGTTAATAGAATCTCAATAAAGATGGGAAAAATTCAGGCACAGAGAGGTTGGGCTTCCTGCACTGGAATAAAACTATCCTGTACAATTTTGGATTAAGTATGCGGTGTCTGTAGTTATAATTATTGGCTACAGAAACAGTTCTTTCGCTTGGTTTGTCCTTTATATCTTTGATACCAGCTTAATTCCTCCTCCTCTTCAAAGCTTGTCCCCCATCTCCATGCTGACACGGAACTCTTTGGCAGGAGGAGGGTTGATAAAGCATTGCTAGACCTGTCCATGAGCCCCAAATGGCTTGCAAGCCACAGATGGGCAGCTGTGTGACTGGTGTGATGGACGAGCTATGCAGAAAGAAATGTGCGTGTTAACTGCACAGCATGGAGTCCAGTATTTGGGGCACAGTCCCTGCCACTGCAGTGTTTATTTTGTTTTAAAATGCAAGTTTATAGTTGCGATTACTAAGAGTCAAGGGATTGAGGCTTCCTGGCAGGGCCAAGTCTTTCCTGGCAGAGCAGAAATGTGATAAAACCCGGTAATATTCAGAGCAGAAGAAAACATGGTGACAACAAACGCTTACTTTTCCATGAAGTGAAGGAATGCTCTGGTTATCTCGTGTGGATATGGCTGTCAGTATACCAAAGAAAGTGGCACTGAGAATACAGGCATGTGGGATATTATTTGTGAGTTTACATGTAATACAGATCCAGTTTTGTCATCCCTTTGCATACATACAACTGGCTCTTTGCTTTGATGATGGGATCATGTGGGGAAGAGGCAAATAGACATCAAGAACACTGGGTGGACTTGGAGGGTGGGGGTTAATGTTTGAAAATTAAAGGAAAAAATATACCTGGGCATTAGCAAGCAGTGTAAATGATTTGATTACGGAATGTCACTGGTAACTAAAGCAATCCATCACTTTAGGCTTGTAGGGTTAAATGTTGTTGTTACTAAATCTACAAGAGGCTACAAGCATGGACAGCTTCAAGAGGGAATTGGATAAGCATATGGAGCAGAAGTCCATCAGTGGCTATTAGCCACAAGGTATAGATAGGGACTCTCAGGCTGGGGCAAGTGATGCTCTGTATTCTTGGTGCTTTGGGGGGGGGCAACAGTGGGAGGGCTTCTAATGTCCTGGCCCCACTGGTAGACCTCTTGATGGCACCTGGTATTTCTGGCCACTGTGTGATACAGAGTGTTGGACTGGATGGGCCTTTGGCCTGATCCAACATTGGCGTCTCTTACGTTCTTATAGCACCCGTGGGCACCACGTTGGGGTTCACTGAAATACCAAGTACTGCAGCCTTCCTGACTATTGATTCATTCACAGGACTTTGTGGTATCTTCTATGACAGGTCTGGCACTGCCTGACAACCACTGGGAGGGTTGTGGGAGGGGAAATGGAAGTGCAATGTCCTCTGAGCTGCTACATTGCTTCTGGGGAAAACCCAGATGTGACAGGGTAGCTCTATGAATCACTGAAAACTCTACATCAGTTCCGGATTTTCCTTGGGCGTGACATAGGCAGTGCAGAGGATGCCTACAGGGTGTTTAAAAATGTTTCTCCTGCTGCCAGGGTCGGCTTGCTCACTAGGCGAACTAGGCATTCGCCTAGAGCACGCCGGCCCCTACGGGCGCCCAACTGTACCTGCCCCCCCCCCGCCAAAAGCCTCAGGGACACTACGCCCCCCC